AAGTATCATAGGTACTATATTACTGGTGGTATATGTTCAATCATTTAAGTATTAAACGTCAGTGTTACTTTGAATACTTTCAATTAGAATTATCAGACGTTTTATGATGTATTATGTTGATTATGAGCTAATTCAATTTATTTAAATCGATGATAATTGTGCTAACGTGTATTTGTTGTTTATATTTAATTGAAATTTTTGTTTTAATTGAACAGCTTGTTTATGAGTAAAGGTATGGTTTTAATAATAATTCGTTTAAAACGTACTTTATATTCAGTTAGAAATTTTAGTTTATTGGAATAACTTTTTCAAAACGATAACAATAAACGTTACGTCTAGATGTACTTCATCGGACTGTATATTGTTAAACTAAAAGATAAATATATATCTATACGATCCAGATAACACGAGTGCATAGTTTCGAAAGCGTTAATGGAAAGCACTTGATCTGCATTAAAGGAATTTCATTGTAGTGTGTTTGGCAACATAGTTTCTAAAGTAATTTATAGAAACATCTTAATATAGCCAATTACAGAACTTGAGAGAAAACTCTTTGTGTTTTTAATATTAATATTATTATTATTATACCTTGGTATTTGTTTCTAATAGAATTACATTAAATTATTTTTATTTGATTAAATAAAAGTTTATAAAATTATCTAATGTTGGGTGGGTATAGTATTAATAGTTTTATTATAGTATTAATAGTTTTTGCGTGTAAGATGATTTTAATTAATAATTTATGGGAAGAGATAGATAGAGATTTCCTATAGGTAATTACACCGAATGAACCAGTCGGTTAACTTTGAACAAGGTAATACATAGTGTATGCACTTTCATCTTGATTGGCTGTATTATAGCTACACCAACCGCTGAAACGCACAACCGTCATTAGTAATCGCTTCTAATACCCCGTGAAAATTTGCACGCGTACACGGAAATAATATCCGCCGTGAATAATTAAATCCCATAAACGAGAACAATGGGGAAAACCTCATCAATTAGAATTTGTATATCGTGCTTTGTATATTGGACGTTTCTTTGTTGTTTCAAATATTACGTTCCTAATTTTATAAGAAAAAAAAAGAAGAAAATAAAATAAAAAGGTGTGATCAAACGTTTGAATCAAAAATTGTTTTAAATTTAGGTTAAAACACAACTGTTTCGTTTTAAATTTAGCGCCAATCGATGGATCAATGCAATGTAGATGGCGCGTTTCGTCTAGGGATATTATCTAGTGATTAATAAATGTATGCTGAGATTTTTCGGTGCAATACGTAAAGAGGGATTCCTCATTTGAGGTACGACAACGTGTTACATCCATAAAAATCGTTTGTAAAAAGCTTTTTAAATAACCATCGTGTTTTATGTACGTTTCATAGAAACTTTCTAGCGTGTTTACCTCCTTGTCTATTTTTAAGATTATTTTTCTTCGAAATATGCGTCTTTATTTGCAAATATTAAATAATATGTCACCGTTATACATTTGTTAAAAATTATAATTAATTATTTATACTAAATATTATTTTTTTTTTAAAGCTTTAAATACGACATAATCCTTAAACGTTTCCAATCGAAACAAAAAATAAATTTAATTATTAAAAATATTTATTCAGCAATCACGAATATAATTATTTAAAATTTTTCAAAAGATTGATCCTCTTCGTGGGAAGATAGATCCATCGTTAGAAAGCATTTAATTTAAGGTGCAGCGATGTGCCTTTACTATGCCCGATTCCACTTAATTAGAGTCGCTTAACACCGTCTTCGCATATCGTTAAAATTATAATGAGATACTTATACCCTTTCCCTTTCCCTTCATCTATCATCATTACCATTATCATTATCATTATCATCATTATGGTCTTCACTATCGTTCGATAATCTTTTATTCGTTCTATAATTTAAATAAATTACATTAAATATTATAAACGATTATTAATGATTACAAATAATATAGAATACAATATATTTCTTTTATAATTAAATAAGTTATACAATTAATTATGAAATTCATGAAATTACATTACAATTGTTTGAAGAATCTGATGATCGTATACTCGAGATTAGGTTAATTAGATATATCAACGTCGTGTATGAAATTAGTGGTCACTAGAGATACGAGGAGTACGAACAGGAAACACCTGTCTGTTGAGCGAAGCACAATTTCCTGGACAACCTGATCTGTGTTTACCTCCGGATTACTAGTCACGAAACAGAAACGAAGTTTGAGTTTACGTCAATGATAAACAATTAAAAATATAATTTATTCTTATTCATTAATATTAAGGAATATCATTTTTTAAAATTCTTGATTTATAAACGAAATTGGTTATAATTAATCATTTATAAAAGAACAATGTATATGAAGAATATAAATAATTTTTTATTGTATTATATCAAAAAGTACTTATTAGAATGTATAATATAGAAAAAGGTAAAAAAAATTTTAAAATATTTGATTTTCTAAAAATTGTTTGTACTACTTAAAAATGTCTGACCATATATCGTACTCGTATCACTTTATTCGTACTACTTGAAAATGTCTGACCATATATAATGTTCGTACTACTTGATTTATACTACTTAAGAAATAAAAATAATAAAATTTGTTCTAATTCGCGAATACAATGTACTCTGAATACAATTTTTGTCTTTTTTTCAAATAAAATTAATTCTTTATTTAAAGAAAAGAAAAAGAAAAATCGATTAAACTATATTAACAATAATAAAAAAATATAGAAAAAAAAGACAATTTGTATCGTATCGTATGAAACAAATACCAATTGTAAATTTTACGAATAGAATAAGATAAAAAATATAAAAGATATTAAATAAAGAAGGAGAAATATTTTGAAAGATAGAGAAAGAGAGAGAAAAATATATAAGGAAGGAAGTTTTCTTAGACAAATCGTTTGTCATAAATCTGTCTACTCTTTACGCCTTCTCCACGAGTTGTTCTCTTAACCCCACCCTCTTTTTCATATCGCTAAGGAAGAAGAAGAATAAGAAGAATAAGAAGAAAAGAAGGAAAATATTAGGGTGGAAAGAAGAAGGAAAACTGGAGGATAAGCCGAGCATATTCAAATATTCTAACGTGACTCGAAGGAAGAGTAATGAGTGTCTGGGTTACGTCTCTTCCTAGCTTTCTAAGTCTAGACCCTTTTACGACCTATGCACCTAACCCTGCTTCATCTAACCCACTAATACTCCCTTGTGAATCATAAAGAGGATTATCGGCTCCCTTACAATCTCAACTCTTGTTCATTTTCATTAAACAATTAATTTCGACACATTGTACTTACCATTTATACATCTTATCATATTTAATAACAATTTCTAATTGATTTTAATTTATATTTGAATTGTTCCTTACAGTACAATGATTTATTTATTTGTAATAATTCAATGTATATACAATGTAGATAATTCAGATCTGGTCAAGGTTTTTTTGAGAGAGTAGCCTAAGAGTTTCCTAAAAAGTTTTTGTAAGATTTTTTTCTGAATGGAATTAGGATTTTGTAAATAGATTTGATAAACATATTTAATAATTGATTGAATTACTATGAAATAATTTGATAACAGTGATTATTTAACTTTATATTTGAAAATAAATAAAAAGGTATGTTCTTGATATAAAAGAAAAATAGAAAGAATAAGTGAATTTGTAAAGAAAGGGAATAGAAAGAAAGAAAGAAAGCAAAAAAAAGGGGAAGAGTATCTATTTGAGGGTGAAACGATATGCTCATCGTTGAGAGAATCAATACTATTCTTGTCGGCTGTCGAAAATAGAAAGAAAACAACCCTCTCGTCGACATCAGTTTCAAGTACTTATTATATGCCTATTCAAATCGAATTTCACTCTCTTTCTCTCTCTCTCTCTCTCTCTCTCTCTTTTTCTTTCTTTCTTTTATTTTTTTCTTCTTCAACTAACAATACATACTTCATACGATCTATATTTCTCTTCTTGCGGAAGAAAGAATTCAGAGGAGAGAAAAGATATCGAGAATAAGTAGAACGAGCTTGAAAATATCGTACGAGTTTTTTTTTCGTTCTACGTTTTTTCTTTTCTTTTCGAAAGAATTCCGGGACAAATTGAAAATTCGATTGATACTAGTATAATCATTTCACCGAGTTTCGTGTTAGTCTCTTAATACGCGAAAATAAATTCAAATAATTTTTTTAATAACATAAGTATTTGAAAATGATGGATATAGTTTATAAAAACAGAACAAAAATTTTATACAATCTCGTTGGCAAACTTTGTATTTCCCCTCACGTCGTCAAATAATATTTCTATAAATTAAATCTATTATTTAATCGATGAAAAATTTTTTTATTTAATTCGTATATCAATTTACATTAAAATCTGAAAACCACCATACTAAATATTATTACAATAATATATATATTTACGTTTTCTCGATTCATTTTATATTGGTTTTGTTTTGTTGAATGTAAAATGAACAAAAAAATGATCTAAATTGAAAAATCGAGATCATTTCGATAATACAAAAGATGGTTTATTATTATAATAGTTTTCTTCCTAGGATCGTTCAATCTTAAAGAATTCGATGGCCGGGTTTGTATAGAAAAATAATATATATGAAAGAAAAAAAAAAAGAAGAAGGAAAAAAATGAAAGAAAAAAAAAATATATATATATAATGAAAAAGAAAAGAAAGACATATCTATGCGACGACTAGGCCACCATCGTTAAAGACCAAGGGGGATTTATTACGCTCAACGAAGCGTACGATTCACGCTTCGATTTACTTTTCCGATCGAGGTCGAATCCCTTTTGTTTCTTCTGACGATGAAAGATCCAACCGAGCTGTTTCATACGATCTCTATTTCTTTCGACAATTTTTTTTTTATCTTTTATATAAGTTAACTAACTTGAACAAAAAAATATAATTCTTTTACTTATATATAATATTTAATATATATTGTATATTATATTAAAAATGAAAATTAAATAAATTTTTGTCAATAACTTACGTTGTTCTTATTGTTAGTTTTGATCGATGATTTTCTATTATCGATAAGAATCCGTACGATTTAATTCCATGTACACCATTCAAATCTGTAACAAAAAATTTCAATATATATGATCAATTTAAATCTTTAAAAAGTTTTACATTTAATTGTAAGATTTTATTTTAATTAACACTATCTCTAATTAAATTATACACCAATAATAACACCTGATTATAAATAACAATGATTATAATATAAAAATATATTAGACACTTAAATACACATAGACACATATCATTATTTTATATCGAAGATTTTTATAGATTTTTTATGCTATTGGAAAACAAAAGAATTAGGAAAAAAAATTATGAATAAAAATAAAAGAATACACATAAAGTAATAGTTTACTGCTACGTCGTATATATTTAACGTTTATAAAAATATAAAAGATATGATTCTATGGGAGAAAGAAAATTTAAGTGAATATTCATCCCTCCCCTATACTTTCTTTATATAGGAGGGGAATATTCAAAAATATATTTTACGAAAAATCTAGCGTTATCAGAAACATTCTTCATCATATCTAACCTATACCTATACACATACACACATATATATATTTCTTCAAAATAACAAGAGGAATTTTTGTTGGCCGCCGAAGTAAGGTACTGATATACGCAATAACTTGTGCAATAAAAACGTCGGCAATAACTCCGTGACGCTGTCGTTTGAGGAAAACCTTGAAGAAAGGAACAAACGAAAAAGAAAGGTACAAAAAAATAAAAGGAAGATAGAAAGAATGAAAGAAAGAAAGAAAAGCAGAGATATAGGAAGAGAAAAAGGAAGAAACGTTTCGAAGAAGGTACCGGAGTTTCACGATATTTGGAAGGAGACCTACAGAAATAGTTGAAACGTGGGGAAGGTGGTGGAGAGGGTGATGGGGAGGGGAAAGGGGAAGGAAAAATACATAGAAAGTCAAAGAAAGAAAGGGAAAGAGAAAGACTGAGTTAAAGTGAGGTAGAGAGAGACAGATATATATAGAATGTGAAATTTTCTATCTCTCTCTTTCTTTCTTTTCTTCTCGGATGCTTGTCTACCATTTCTCTTATTTCCATCCACATCTTCCAGAAAGAAGGATAAAGAGAGAGAAAAATACCGATGAGCTTCGAATCGCTCGAGTGAAACGATAAGAATTTAATAATATGACCATGAATGCACTTTTATCCATCTGCATAGTGCAACTAAAGTCAAGAATACACAACGTATGCATTTTTATACTTCCATACTTCTTTTTTATCTTTAAACATTTGTCTTTTTTTGTATTATATATATTTATATATATTTTCTTATTTTATTATTCGTTTCTTTTTTTTCTTTTACGCGTAACAATTATGCAAATATTATTTGTCGTATTTTTAGGAATATAATTTTTTTTTTCGTATTAATTTAATATAACATTATATAATTTATAGAATATATTATTATTGTTATAATATTAATTATATTTGTATAATAATTTTTTTTTACTTTGTGTGTTCTTCATTTTAATATTTATTATATTTTATATTCATTTATATTTATATAATCATATTTCTATTCATTTTTATCAAACACAATCTTTTTATCGAATTCCATTATCTTCTTTCCCCTCTATCTCGGCGTATTTCTATGAAACATTTTTTTTCTTTTCGCTGGGTGAGACTCCCGAATAAAAATGAGAAAGACACACACACACATACATACACAAAAATATATATAAAAACTATGATTTTTATTCAAAAGGAATTCTATTAAGAATATTTATTTATCGAGCCTTTTTTTATTTTGTTGCTTTAACGTCTAAAAATTCACTACTTTTACAAACGATACACACGAACAAATAAACACATACAAACACCATATAAATATCCGTACTATTGCAATATTTCTATCTTCGTTCGCGTAAATACTAAAATGCTAAGATGTAAAAAAAACCATGGATGGGGTGGAAAACGAAACTTCTTGCTGTGTATTTTATTTTCAGACAGGGAGAGAAACAAATTTTTCAAATCAAAATTTATCGAAGGTAAAGATTTCAACCTATCGTGTAATCTCAAGGGACGAACCAATGGAAAAAAAAAAGAAGTAGAAAGTTGAATTTATATTTTTACACTTGTATACATTGTAACAACGAACATAAATTCCTTGCCTTTTTTACTTCTTAATTTATTAATCTTTCCTTTCCCTCTCCCATAAAAATGATCAAAGAAAAATTTAGAGGGAGTGTATTTGAATGAAAGATTTTTTTTAATACAAAAAATATAAATTCAAATTGATCATAAAACAATCGAATTAACAAACACTTATTACTTTCCATGATTTTTATTTATTCTTTTTCTTTTCCCATAAACACAAACGATCCTAGACAAAAATCAACGTTCGTTCTATTTCCCATGAAAGTAAACATGTAAAACCTACAAAATTAATTTCGAACGAATACGAGAGAGAGCGAGAGAGAGAGAGAGAGAGAGAGAGAGAGAGAATTAAGTAAAAACAATATTAGATTTTAATTCTCAAGTTGATAATCCAAGTTTCATTGAAACGGATAAGGTATGTTTCAGAAAGTTGACAGAAGGGATGAAAGAATAATGGAAAAAGAATAAATCTCCTAAAGCTTTTCGTAGAACTCACTGTCAAGAGAGAAAAATCCCTTTTTATATCGTCAACGAAAACAACAAAAAAAATAAATATCCCCCACTTTAGGGGATAACAAAATAAAACGATGTCTATTTTCTGATTTCACTTTATGACAAATATACGTGTATACGAAAAATCCGAGTTTTACGAAATATCCCTGGGTTCAATTTTTCAGTTAAAAGTTTTCTCGATCTATTGTATAAATAAAATAAAAATAAAAGAACAAACTTGAATAAAATTATTGTCAGAAAAATAAAAACAAATCACGTTTTACTCAAATAGAAATAATTAACAATTATTTAATTTATTTATCAAAATCAGCGAAAAGTTTTAAGGGCAACCATAAGAAATCTATGATTACTCCCTTAAAAAAAAAGTAAAATTCGTAATTATATTCGAAAGCAAAATTATTAAGATATACTATTTAAATATTATACAGGATGATCCGCCAATTATTAGCACCTAAATATTTCTGTTATTAGTTATAATATATCATAGAAAAATATAATACATACAAAACTTATGTGACCATGAAAAGAAATACGTAAGTTAGTCTAAATATTTTTTTCCGTTGTTAGTGGTGTACAGAAGTCCTAAAAGTCATCTTGAATTTTTATTTTAAATGCATTCATACGTCATTTATTTTTTTTAAAAACGTAATAGTGGAACATGAACGAAGTAAAAAACTTTACAAAATCCTATAAGAAGAAAAATTGAATAAACCAATTTTATTTGATGAGTCCCGATAAGATTTTAAATTCTGAAAACGTAATGACTAAGAGAAAGAGAGAAAGAGAGAGAGAGAGAGAGATCAAGAAAGTTAGATTCGAGGTTTGTTTGTCACAGGAGATCTGTAGTACCAATGTAAACCATGCTTCGAATCGCTCAAATTATTTCCACAACAGTTGGATAATTAAGGAAGTTTTGCTTGAGAACAATTAGTACTGACTCTGCTAACCTTTCTACAGACTTAGAATTCTCCTGTCAACTTGATGCTAGAAATGGGAAGAGGATTTCACAATGTTCCAATACTGTTCTCTCTATTTCCCCACACCCCTTTACCCCTCACTCAGTGTTTCTCTCTTTCTGTCTCTTTTTGTTTCAAAGATCAGTTCAAGATACATTCGATGTACAATCAGCAAAGAGACATGGGATTCATAGTTTGAAAATTTATCGTTACTTCAATACCATTCAATACAATAAGTAATTATGTAGTACTATTGTTACTCTATTTCTAACTAAATAATTCATATATAAATTATTAGACATATTTTTAATCCCTTTTCATTCTATTAAGTTAATTCTCGTTACAAGAATATTATTATTCGAATATTATTGTAAATTTGAAACACGATTGTTCATAATGCTGTGAGTATTACATATCTTTTTTTAATACAATGATTTATATTGATTTGATAATTAGTATCAGGTTAACAGTCGTATGTTTGTATGCTTTTAAAATGATTGAACGTATCTTGATTTTTGTGTTCATTTATATTAAATAATATTTATCTATATTGCAAAATCAAATTTATGTTAATTAAAAAGTTGAATAATTATCAAATATTATTTTCTTCGTGTATGTATTATCAAATATTATATTTGCGATAAAATATTGATCGTTTTAAATTAACAATCGGCGTGGTACGAATAATTCTATGGCATACTGTACTCAACATTGTCTGCAACATTGTTTTAGATCTTATTTCAGATATGGAAACTTTGACGTTTCTCTCGAGATATTCAAATTATTCTATTCGAAACATCGAAAGCACTTGCGTATTGATAATAGTATAGCACTGTTACGTGCCGTTACTTCCACACGGTTTCTCAAACGTCTTTCGAAACGTGAGAAACGTCAGAAACAGATACCGCTCCTACAAATTTCATTCTATGACCAAGGAGACAATTTATTCATATATCTGCAATATATTGATCTTAAATAATATTTATTTATTATTACGTTTACCAATTTATACTTTTAATTTACTTCTCTATCGTTCAATTTTAAATTCTTCCGCCATTTGCATTGTTTTGTTTTGTATTCACTTAAAATGGCCGATACCAATTTTGAGGTTATGTTTGTATGTTTGGTGATGTATTAATCGAATGAACTCTTAGATGGACTTTCTGATGGTTTCTTTATGTTCGTTCTACCATCGAATAACTATAATTCCTTTCAACGTAACCTGAAATAGAGAGAAAGAGAGAGAGAGAGAAGAAACTTTTGGACAGGCAAAGAATCCTCGGAAAATTTGATCGTTCGCCTTTCAAAAACTTCTGTTGAAAGTTCGCTGCTTCCTATTTTCGATGATCTGCATAAGAATCGAAGAATAGACACGGCTATTTCTTCTTTTTCTACTATATATAAATATATATATATATAAAATATATGAACTGAACGTTTCGTATTTGATTATCGGTTTTTCA